GGCAGTGAAGAAGTTTGCAAGATCGGTGAGATACTCATTGATTTTCCCCCAAAGGCTGTCGATATTGGGACTAGGACTGTCCTATCACAGGGACGACGTTAGTTCTGTGCTCGTGCTATGCATTTTTCGGAGTCCATGTTGGTGTTTGGCTGGTTTCAGATACTTCGGCAGGCTGGGGAGGAGTAGTGCTTCCATTGTCTTTTCCACTGGGGACAAGAGGGAGATTGGCCGGTAAGAGTCCACTGTGTTCACCTTCTTCCCTGTCTTAACGAGGGGAATGATGCTACCCATTTTCCACATCTCGGGGATGATCAGGAGGGACAGTGACAGGTTGAAAGCTGCTATGATGTACTTGACTCCCGCAGGTCCCATCTTTTTCAGCGTCTGTATGGAGATTCCGTCAGGGCCTAACGGCTTGAATGCTTTGGCGTTCTTGACAGGTGCCTGCGTCTCTACGGGGGTAAAGCACGTTGGTGTGTCGCGGGGACGGAGTTTGTATGCTTTACGTAGCACACTGTGGTGGGCTTTGTCTCTCTCCGGGTATGTAATAAACTGCCGGCTGAAGAAGCGCGCGCACGTCCGCGGATCCGACGTTGTGCTATTTCCAAATGTAAAGGCAACGTTTTCCTTACGCATCGTCGGATGGGAGGGATTTTACTGTCGTCCACAGTTTGCTGACTCCGCTGGAGAGATTGCAGTTTTCCAGATGTTCGTTCCACGTTTTCCGCTTGTGTTCGATTACCAGTTTACTAATGTCCTTGTTGAAATCCCTGATGCGGGGATCACCAGGATTAGAATGGCGGACTCGATCACGCACGTCTGCGAGTCCCGCAGCTTCTGCTGGGAAGCCCGGACGGATTTTGGCGATCCTGTCGGCTGGTATGATGCGGGCGGCTGCTACGTTGAAGATCCGGCGGATGTTGCGCTCAGCTTGGCGCACGCATGTTGGTGGTGGAAGTGCTGAATTTACGTTGTGTGTGTTCCGTAAAACCGTCCTAGTTAGTCTTCATTGTGTTCATGGACGTACGGTTTTCGGATGTAACAAAATCTATTGGGTGGTCTATCACGACTACTATGGGCAGGTGATCTGAGGCGAGCATGAGCACTGGTTGCCACTAAATGCAGTTTATCAGACCCCCGCTGGATAGTGAGGTCTGGTACACAGTAGCAGTCACCCGCGACCCTGAGCCTGAGGCTTGAGCCGCAGTGGTGTTTTGTTTCCTGGGCCGCCGCAACTGAGATTTTATTGCGCCTCATGGAACTGACTATCTCAGCGATCTTGCTTTGAAGTCCGTAGCAATTGCACTGCAATAGTTTTATTGAACTGGGCCTGGTGACGTATATGCGTGGAGTGGGGGAGTACTGGCGCGCTGCCTGAACTGTTTTCTGTGTTGATTGCGGATGTGGTGGTCCTACCTCTGGCGTTATCACCGGTGTGGGTGTGTACGTAGACCGCGGTTGCGGGGTTTTCACTGGCGTTGACGTTGGCACTGGTGCAGGTGCAAGCGTTGGGAATTGTAAGGGAGCGGAGCAGCATGCTGCAGTAAAAGCGGTACTCCCCTCGCGATGGTGCATGAGGCTGGAGCAGCGCTTCAGGTGCCACCAATTGTTGCATGCGTTGCATCTTACTGATGTGGTATTATGCCTCACCAGGCTGATGCAGGCGCTATAGAACCATCTGCTTTGGTTGGATGTCCGGGGTTGCGTGCTGGGAGTTGGTCCACTGGCTGATGGTTGGACGGGCGTTGTTTATGTGGAGTGCTGGGTTTGCTGTGGGTGGTTGAAGCTCGATGCAACAAAATTAGCAAGTGAACCAGTTATTGCAGTTGTTGCAACGGACAGGTGGACGAGTGGTAAATGTTTATGTGGCAGACATTACATGCCCATGGTCCGGGGTTTTGCTCTATACCGGCGCGGAGCAGACTTGCCCGTGGGTCATGCTTCCAATGCGAAAAAATAGGGGGGTTGCTGCTCGGGTGATGGTCCTTTGTCGTAGTGGCTGCTACGAGTCAATCCGGTAACGTAGAACCGACCATTTTGAAAGTCTTAGGTTGTTGCTGTTGTTGTTGTTGCGGCTACTTAGCCCTGTCTGGAGTTAACTATCGGCAGGTCCACGAAACGTGCCGTTTCGACGGTAGTGATAGTTGGGTTGGATTGAGTGGGCATGTGAAGAGGTGGTTGGTCTCATGTGGGTAACCTTCACATGGCGGACATACATCGTCGGGGTATTGTCGGGAAAAACTCCTGGTTTAACCCACTACAATATCCAGGGCTCGAATCGTCACATACGATATCGCACTACTCATCACGTAAAAACACATTTTTCGGATTATGACATACGTGAACGTAAAGAAAGAGGATGAACGTCGCTTTATGAAAAGTCGCCCCTCACCCCCCTCCCCACCCTAAAGACCCCTTGGGAGCTGTTTGAAAACAGCGTAAATTTGGATTTTTTTCCAAAACGATTATAACCCTCACTACTCCTTTCTCTGTTGCCCAAGAAGAGGGGCTGAACACCTTTTGCAGAGAGCACCTTTCTGCGTAGGCGGCCTTCGGCCGCACTAAGGATTATAACCCTCACTAAGTAGAATTCTCCTTTCTGTGTTGCCGAAGAAAAGGGTCTGAACTACTTTTGCAGAGATATTTCGTGGATATTTTTTTGACAGCTCAGCTCGGAAACTTGCAAAAAACCTTAACCCCCGTATTCTAGAACCCGAATTTTCGTAATTCGTAATTCGTAGCTACGCTACGAAAAACGAAAAATCCCCATGCTGCAACCCTTGCGGAAACATGTGCAGCATTGCCAGCTATCAGTTGTTTTTCGAAGATAGCTGAATGAAGGAAAACAAAGTGGAAAGGAATTAAAAAAACACTCATGAAGTGCTTATTTATAGTAAAAATGTTTGATTTTACATATTTTGAAGGAAACGGTGGATTCTATTGCATTTGCAATCATAGCAGCGGAGTAAGAGCGCGCTATAGGAATGATTTCACAAAGATACGCGGAGCTGTCGGGCATAGTAACCATTGGCGCGTCTATGTCAGCTTCTGGTTGAATTGTTGAACCACAAGCCAGAACTACTCCTATGCTCGAAGAACTGGTTCTCAATCCAGTTAATGCAAAAACAGCTTCTTCCAAGCCATTGAAGACATGCACTTTGTTAGGTCCACCACCTGTTGCACTTGCTTCTGCCTTCGGCCGCGCTTAGGGATTATAACCCTTACTAAGTAGAATTCTTCTTTATGTGTTGCCGGAGAAGAGGGGCTACAACATTTCTGGTGCATATCACTCCGGCTACGCCATCCTCAGTAGATATTTTTGCGCAGAACCCACATCGAAATTCGCAAATGCATAGTGCAAACCGAATTTATTAATATGATAGTGCTCGGAAATTTGAAACATTTATTTTAAATAAAATTTTAATCCTTTGATTACACGTGATGTTAAAGTTTTTGGATTCGGATTATGCGTTTGGACACAACAACCGAAAATCATTGTACAAATAACTAAACCGGACCAAGTTTCTCGATAAGGGGCAACAAAGATTCTGTTTTACTCGTTTATATAAAAATATACTTACATGCGAAGGGCAAATTTATCTGTTTAAATGAACACCGCTAATATTTCCTGCAAACACACATGGATTTACGTCTTTTATCTCGGCTCCGACACAGAATTGTTTTCGTACAAAATTACGCAAAAAAGCGTACTCGTTCGTTTTTAGGCATGCAATTGTTACGAATTTCGAAAGTTCGAAAATACGATTCGGATTGCAGCATACTATTTCTACGATTCGTAGCAAAATCCGAATACGAAAGAGTTGCAGAATAGGGGTGTATATTTCCAACCGACATTATTAATAAATTAGTGCACAGATATAGTAAATTTTATTTTTGTAATAAAGCGTGAACTGTTGTCTACAAGTGTGTGTAAAAGGTTTTTGATTCGATTCACGCGTTTGGGCACAGCAACCCAAAATCGTTGTACAAATTCATAAACAGTACCCCTCGTTTTTACTAACTTTTTAAAACGAGGTGCGTATGTTGTCGAATTTGTTCTTCCCCTCCTCCTGACGGCTTTCAAAATGGAATTCATTTGCGTTCAAATCTTCCACTCTGTAGTAAATGCAAATGTTGTGGAGTGCTCAAACAACGTTTATAATTTCACTGGCTTTGAGCTATGAGTAATACAGTTCATGATGAATTTATGACTCTACACTCATCTGAGAAAGAACAAACATGTCCCTAAATCTCCGCCTTTCAATTTCCGAATCAGAAGTCTGGGACTCGTTCTCCTCTTCAAGCAATAACGCCGCGGCTATGGATTTCATTTTTATAATTATGTTTCCAATTAAATAAAGCACAAACCAAATTTTATTTTTAAATTACATTGATGTTAGATATATTTAGTTATTTACAAACTTTAACTTCATAAGCTGCTATAGTTTGGTGGCAAATATTTCTTTTGTTTTGTTTCGATTTCACACATTCCTAGGCAAACAGCTGATTTCCAAAGATGTTTTCTCTCTTCCTCTTTCGATTCGATCGTAACGCAGAATACCTAAGTTCGATTCTTGCAGAGCGGAATTCGGGAACGTAATCGAAATGCAAAATAGGGGTGATTAATTTAAAGTGGAGTGGTGGATAGTACTTCAGGCCGATTTTACGATTTTTGCCTCTAAATTGTCCCCAAGGGTGTTACTGGTATACGTGTAGATTTCTTGATCGGCGCTTATGTATTTTTGTAGGCTTGTTCTAGTGAAAATGCTCGATTGGATTATGAAGGTCAACTAGCTCGCGATCACGTAAGTAGACCCACACAATAAGTCGACCCAGAAAGTTTAGAAGTAGACCCACACAATAAGTCGGCCCAGAAAGTTTAGAAGTATTAGCTGGCAAAAGAATAAAGAGCTAACCTAAGGAACTATAAAGTTGTATTATAATGTGAGCAATAGTATATACATACCTGCGTCATACACAAGAATAAATAATGCACGCTCTTTATGTGTAGTTGCAGTTAGTTTCTAATTGCCTACAAATTTACGGTTTATTAAGTTTTCTTGTTTAATTTAGACTTTTCCTTTAGACTTTGAATGATGATTTTTGTTGTAGTTTTTATTATGATTTTTAGGCGTTTGTTTCATGAGAGTTTGCTTTTGGTAATATTATAATTATGTATGAGTACTTTGTGTACGAGGAGAAGAGTACGTGGACATAGTAGTAAGATCAATATCTACGTGGTTACATTTAAGTTACAGCTCTTTTTAAAAGTATTTATTTTTTTTTTTTAGTTTCTCTTTAACAGTACATATTACTTTTATAGATAAATTTCTGGAGGTATTTTCAATTTAATACAATATATATTTTTTCATTTTATTATTTTTGGATGTGTATGTAGTCGTTAAATTTAATATTTAGGGTTTAAAATATATAATATATAGATGTGTACATATGTATGTATGTGTTTGTTATATATATATATATGTATATGCGAATAATTGAAGCATTAGTTACATTACAATAGAAATTTAGGATGTTATTTGTGTTTTTTTTTTTTTCTTGTAGTAGGTGTTAAAGCAAACTCGCTTACATACATACAAGTATTTAGAGAAATTTCAATTATTATGTTGTACGCATGTATATGTTTTTTTTTTAACTAATAGTATTTATTTTGTTAATGCTATTTCTATTGAATTAGGGCTTTTAGTTCTTTTATAAAAATTATGTTAATTCTAACGCTTACGTTTAACAAACGCTTAGATAACGGGTTTTGATTTTTATTTTGCAATCAAAATTTCTTTTTATACATTTAACAAACAACAGGTGAAATGAAAAAATAGAACCTTGTAAAACGATAAAGGAAAATTTTGCTTTTAATGTTCAATAACAAATGAAATAAAAATTTCCAAATTTTTGCAAAATCTCATACAATTTTAGGTATTAACATACATACATTTTTATGCCATTTTCAACCAAAAAATAAGTAACAAACAAAAGAGTCTAATTAAATCGAACACTTTTACGCTGCACCGATATTTAATATGTAGGCAAGTAACACCTTTTAGCATATAACCAATTCTAACTTTAACTTAATTCAATACAAATACATATATAAAACAAAACAGAAAATATGTACGCGTTTATGTATATGGATAAATTTGACAAGCTGTAGCGCAACGGTGGAGAAAAAGAATGCGCACGGAAGTAGTAAGAATCTGCACATTCTTAAGGCAACATATTTAGTTGGTTTTTAACGGTAACTAACTTTTGAACACAATATCTTGAATATACAACATTCTGTTGCGCTATCAGCAACTTGTCTCTTTCACTCACTCTATTAACATTACTTGGAAAAAAGATACAAATGTACTACTAATTATAAACGAAATTAAAAGTACAACTGTTCAAATTACTTCCGCTGCACGCCCGTTGCGCGCGATGGTGGGGGACATTTAAGGCAGGCGCACGCCCAAACGCGCTCATGGCGCTTTGATACGATTTTATTGGCTTTATGATTATTACAATCGGAACTGACGCCATGGCGGTCAGCGCGGCAAATACGAGTATAAATCACAATCAAATTTATTTGTATATGTATAGGTTTGCGTAACTTATCCGACATTTTTTTTGTGCCATTTCTAAATGGTGGCTTTTTGTAAAAAGAGGAGCTATCAGCGTGTTGAGTGTTTGCATTTGTTTGATTTCGATAACATTCTACACACACAATACATATAATTTTCTTTTTAGCCATCGAACAAATGACCGAATTAATGTATGTATGCACACATCGCACGTCGAATAATATGACGAAGTATTTCAAAATTTCAAAGTTACTTGCACCATATTGGGAAGTGTTATCTGTTAGACTGAACATATTCTACTTATCAAGCTTTTTAATTGCATAATGAAATCTCCAAAAACGTAAATTTTGAGTTACATCTCTATATTATTGAGCGTGCGGCATATGCATTTGTGTTTTAGTATTACGCGATTGCATAATTTTTATTTAATTTCTGTAGCCCTTCTTAGCAATGCCCACTTCATATTAGATATAATTTACTGTACTATCGAATTGTTTGAAAGCATTTGTATATTTGTTACTTTACTCTTTATCTCTACTAATCGAAAAAAGTTCGTTGCATTGTTTTCCTATATATTCGCTTCAGTTTTTTTAAGTTTAAGCCAGATTTAGCCCTCCTTGCCTGCTATCTTAATTTTGTGTTTTAATTAGTTTTTGCATTTGCTTTGCGCTTTACCATTTTTCAGTTGGTTTGGTTTTTATCTGTGCTATTTTTTTGGTAATGTTTTGAAAATTCAATGTAAGGATACTTTAGAACGATTTTACATCAGCTAATAGAATATCATTGCTTGATTAATTTTTTCTGGTTTTTCACTTGATATCTTTTATATAGGTTCTTCTTTCGAAGTTCACTCAATACACGATCATGTAATTATTGAATAAATTTGCAATATTGCTGTATTTTGCGGTTTTATTTTTTTTTACTCCTCAGAGAAATCAGTATCGTCACTATCATCGCTTGTGCCAGAAAGAAAGTCTAACCAGTGGTAGTCTCGTTGTTCAACAAACTCCCACAAGTAGATCTGTAATAAAAAAAAAACCAACAAACTCATCAGTTATATGTAGTTATGGCTTTAAATATGAAGTAGAACTTAATATGAACTTACATCCAGTAAATCAATGAAATCATTTGAACCACGATGTAATTTACGTGCGCGTTTGGGTAAACCCACATCGACCAAGTCTCCATTGGGGAGAGCATGTTTGTAGAAACATTTGTTGCCAAATGGACACTTGCCATCCCCCTATTTGTGAAAATTAATTTAATTAAAGTGCTAATAATACACAAAATATTCTGAATACCTACCTTCTTAAAGTATTTACAGTCTTTAACACCAAGCGCTACCCGATAATCATTGAGCAGCTTATCCTTTTCTTCCTTAGTTTCCACCCAAAAGGCACTGGGGCAAACAAAATCTGAAGAAACGCGGCACTCAGGGCACGAGCTGTAATTGTAAGATAAATTTATTAAATTGCTTACCATATTAACAAAACCTTCATTTCCAATGTGTTGGCAAAGAATTATTCATAAACTAGTTACTTTAAGAGCCAAAAATTGTTGATCGTTTACATATCGCTAGCTTAGAGTGAGAAGTTGCTAAGTCCCATTTTCAAAAATTTTCAGGAGGAAAAAAACTGCATATAGCCATTTTCTTCAAGTACCTATTTCGCAAAACTTTGAATACAACGTTTTGGCAAAACTACATATGAATCAGAGGGATTCGATCTTTATTAAAAGATTTCGTACAATATTTCCTTATCGGAATGAAAAAAATAAATAAAACAAGTACCTTTATCCTTTTCGAAACAAAGCATTTTTAAGTTCTCTAGCTTCCTGTATAAAAATATGAGTTTTCATGAAATTTGGACTTAGCAATTTTTTATAGGATATCATAATTAAAAACAAATAAAATGTTTACCGTGTAATCTTGTGCTCAAATTGCTTTGCTTGTCGCCACTTGCGGATGCATTCCAGACAGAAAATGTGATTACAATTAGGCAATATACCGAAACGTTTCTCGCGCCCAGCTTTCTCCATTATGGTGTCGAAGCAAATACCGCAAGTTTTATCCTTAGAACGAGCAATAGCGAACGACCATTCCATAGCTTGTTCATGTTGCTGTAGACATTCTTGATTATGTTTTCGACGTTGCGTTTGATCGCTGGGATGTAAGCAGAATTGGTCGCACATTTTGCAAAGCTCCATGTGTACGCCATATGCACAATATGCACCGTAGGGACAGGGGCCTTCATACGGGCATACCATTTCCAGCATGGCTTCAGCATCGGCTCCTTCAACAATGCTCATACGTGATGCCCCATGAGCACCACCGACCACATCGGCCCAAGATTTTTGAGCATCTGCGTTCATTGGACACAAGGCAGCTGCACCATGGTTCGTCAGGTCATCAGCATTGGTTTGTGAATTGTGAGTTGGTCGGTAGTTTTTCGGCACAAACACTGGTGCATTTGCCCAATTCTGTCGACTTGTACTTGGTCGACTGTTCAGGGATTCTGCACCAGTTTTAACATTAGTTTTTGAAGAAGTGGTAGGGGTAGTGGATTCAGATGCAATGCCGCTAGCATTGATGACTTCACCGCCAGATAGATCGTGAGAAAAGCGACATAAGCTCCCAAAACGACATATTCCCCGTTGAAAGTAACGACAAATGGCTGGATTCGCTGCCATATTGGGTTGGGTCCTAGGCACTGCGGTTGCACCTTCAACGACGGCAAGGTTGGACATCATGTTTGGCAACGCAGCAGCACCACCACCACCTCCAACTAATGGGACGAATGTAGCTGAAGCGCTCATCCTTATCGAATTATGTACTTGTATGCTTTCCTTTTCAAAAAACGTGCTCAGTTCAATAAACTACTTAGACTGGGTTGTTGCGAGTTCTTCTCCTGCCTCAACGTGTTTTCACTTGAGGGTTTGAATGGCGCTAACTAAATTAACAAGTTGTTCACGCACACGTCTGAGGCAAATGAACTCTCAATTGATTTTGTGAAACAACTCCAAGTCTTTGTTAATTTTGCTTTAGCTTGTACCCTGTGCTCTTTACAGTAGGTGCTTCTGCCGAAAACGCCAAACTTCGGTTTTTTTGCCACTGCTTATGTATGTCCCTTTGTCGTCTATGAAGCAGATAGACCCAATATGGCTTTGTCTTTGCTATCTTAAGTTACTCTCCGTCTACCTGCAAAACAAAAGACCGGCCAAACATTAGTGCTGCAACGGTCAGAATTCCTATGTAGGGTGGTTTTAATGAATTGCAAATTTTTGCACCTTTACCAAGTTTGAGGTTTTATTTGAACTCATTACGTTAATAGTCCTATAAAATAAGTTCTAAATTTATTTAAGTTTAATATTTCCAAATTATGCGAAAAGCTAAGATATTTATAGTTGAATTACAGCACCGAGATGAAATCAAAAATTTCATCAGCTTGTTGAAACGCACCCTTGAATAATTGCCACAGCTGTCACTCGTACAGTGCTGCCAAACTAAAAGTGACAGCAAGGTAGCAAGCAATGCAGTCCGCAGTCCGATAGGCAATACACATTTGGCCATTTGGCCGTGAAAAACGTATTTTGTAGAGGTGCAAAACTATCGATAGTCAGGCCTTCAATAGTTTTCGATATTATTTTCAAAACTATCGATATATCGTCGATAGTATCGTATTTATATGGTTTTGGCTCAATTTTCGTATGAAGATTTCCTTAGGAATATATTCCGAAATTACGTTTCGATAACCTTGTAAACTGCTGACACTTTTTTAATTGTTTAACCGTTAAGTTAGAAGTAAAGTTATTGAAAATTTAAATTGAATTGAAATGGAATAAAATTGGGCGCACTGAAATTTTATATTTGTGGTTTTCGATATCCTCCGTCATATATAAGGCATTCATTAAGTAAATTTCAATTTTAGAAGGAAACATTTTTTATCTGAGAGGTAATGGTTTTTATCTACCTTTTATTAGATAGATAATATTAAGTTTTGGTATAAATAAATTTGTATCAGTTTTTTAGCAGTATTTTAAAAGATGCAAGGTTTTCCGTCATTTTCGAAATTTAACATTACTCTTTTAAAAAAGTAGCAACCAAATTTTTAGTTCAACTTGGATATTTAAGAGAAATGAAAAGAAAAGAAGAAATAAAACTAAAATAAATACTGAATCACATGTCTGTCGGACTATCGATAGGACCAAAAAACAATCGATAGTAGGGAAAAAGAAAAAACATCGATACTATCGATAGTGCCATCGATAGTTTTGCACCTCTAGTATTTTGGCAATGAACAAAACAAACAATAAACTTATTATAATGTTGAAACTTTTGCTAAAATTAAGTCGGGACTGAAATGGAATTTATTTATTCAACACACGAAGTATAATGGTAACACTATTTTTGTGTACACTTGTAATTGCAACGCAATTTTAAACCCACTTCATTTAATTTTTATACATGACTCTATCACATCAGTTTATTGTTAACAGCTTATCTCGCCAAAATGAACTGACCAAGTTCAAAACTTCCCAAACGACGCGCATTTGGAGCTTCCATGGCCATGTCCAGAAAACAGTCGCCAAAGTATGTACACACAATCACACTCATATAAATACGTAATTGCACTAATGACGACCTTTATTTCGCAACTAACAACCATACATTAATTGCATACTTGAGTTTTATATAAAATAACACCTTTCCACTATAAAAATCACCTTTTGCAACCAATTTTATCCAATTTTCTTGAAATTCTTTGAAATATTACTTACAATTTGCGTCTTTTACAAACGCTGAACAAATTTTCTGACTTCCTCTGACACTGACGTTTACCACAGAAAAGCACAAAAGGATGCCAGACTAGATACCAGTAAATACAAATACATACTCGATACTTTTCGTCCGATACCAAGTAATTTTGGTATCGATACTTTTGAACCAAGTACTGAGTAGGTATTGAAAAAAATACTCGTATCGAAACCCGATACAAAGGCGGACTTTCTTTCTACTCTACTAATATAAATCGCACAGTGCTCTGTGGCTTTTTAAACGCCAGCGACCTTCAAATATTGAAGATTTAAATTTTTTCCTGAAACCAGGGGCTCTATTCTGTACCTGTGAGCTTTCAAGTATAAGCCCTGTATGCAGCTCTCAAGAAAACGGTCAAGAAAAAATTGCCATTGTTTCGCGTGTGTGTCCAAGGAATTTTGACATTTTTGATACCTCACAGCCTGTTGCCTCCCTCTTTCCTCAAGAAATAATGGAATGGGCATATATTTCTGTTGCAAACCTGGGTTGCCTTGTGCTCTTTTTTCACAAAAAACTTTAGAAAACCGTAGTAGAAAGCGTACTAAATTTCTGAAGAACTGCGTGCTGCCTTAAGGAAATTTGACTCAAGAAAATTTCTTAGCCATTTCTTGTACGTCATTTTATATGGAGTTTTTGCTTTTCTTAAGAGCTGGATACTAAGCTATACACTGAAAATTGTGTGCACTCTTCATTTTGCGATTCTGGAGCTCTATTCTGTAACTGTGAGTTTTCAAGTGTACACTGAAAATTGTGTGCACTCTTCATTTTGCGATTCAGGATTGCATGTGTGAGAATGAGTTTTAACTGTCAAAATTGTAAACACTTCTCTTCCGAAAAACTCGCTGAATTTTAGTCCGTGAGTTTTTGGTTGTGAGTTTTGCACTCGGTGTACACTACATTTTCTCACAGCTACAGAATATAGCCCTTGGTTTCATGCCAAAAAAGGAAAACTTTAAACCATCTATTTTTGAAAGTCATTATAAAGTTCAAGGTAATAGTTCTACCACACAAGACTATTTTCGTGAATTCCTTATCTCAAAAGCTTAAAAACACCATTCCAGTTATTTCGCTCTCTCTTCGTCTGATTTTTCCCATTTTTCAAAAATAGAACACTGCGCTGCGTACACACGGCCCCATGATTCAATAATACAAGGTTTGATAATTATTGACAGCCGCGGTTTGACACTTCCTTAAAAAATGTTGCATTTACGAAGGGAGAGAGAAAGGGGAAGAATGCAATCCCTTGTTGCGAAAATGGTAGTAGAAAAGTACGCAAGGTAGGCAATTAGTAGTGAAATTCCTTTGTAAATTCTAATGTATTTGCAGGAAATCTGGCATTTTAAACGAAATATTAATATATCTACGTGAATTACGTAATTTATGTGCTACTTAGCTGCAAAAGGACTCAAAATTAAAATAAAACTTCTATGAAATTTATGTAAACATCTAATTTAAAAACAATTTATGTTTTCATCAGTTAAATGTGCTTAATATGCATATACAAATAAACATATTGCACAAAAGCAAACTTCTCAATAATTTCAATTTCTCGTACCACTCTGTAAAATTATTAAGCTCTTACCTAACTGAACGCTGCCAAGCTGTATTCGCAAACAACGGCCTTTCAGACGTTATGCCCTTAAACCGTGGCGTTCCACAGGTTTCCATTCTGGGCCCTTTGTGTTTTAATTGTACATCAATGAGTTACCAACTGTGATAGGTAAGTGCAATATACATACATGGTGTAATGAACTGAAGGTGGCGCATTCCCGAAACCGCTACTTTGGTTTTGCCGACTTTGACGTTTATGGCAATACGTAAACAAACGTATTGTGTACTTTCAAGTGAAAAATCGAAGTAATTCGTGCGTTTTATAGTAAAAAACGTTTTATTTGTAATAAAAACTTTATAAAAATGTCGTGTCGTGTGTTGAATTGCAGCAGCCGTAGAAATAAAGCCCCCAAATGCAGTTTTTTTGTTCTTTCCCCGCGTCGACGCCTTGGCCAGAAAGTGGGTAGAGTTCTGTCGGCAGGAGAAGGCATACAATTTAGACACTAGCAAAAGTGGTTGTATATTTTTTGTTAACGTTGTGCTTAATTTGCTATATTCAAAGATGGCTTGAGAAATTGGTTAATCGTGAAGAAAACACGTTTTCTCACTGCAAATTCACAACTGTCAACTCATTGTTCTTCGCCATATTCTTTGTTTACCCGTTGCCACAAATGTCATTCTGCGGGAATGCGCAATCTTGTATTCTATCGTTCTTGATATACATATGTACGCTGATGACGTCCAAATTTATGCAAACTGTGATATTACTGATGTCAATACCTGTATTTCGTTGTTGAATGTAAATTTAAATAAAATTAACTCGTGGGCTGTTGAAAACTGTTTGTCTCTTAACCCGTCCAAGTCCAAATGTTTAGTTTTAGGGAGAAGAATTATTGAATACACTACGCTACCCAAACTATACATTAATGATATTCCCATTGATTATGTCACTTGTGTAAGAAATCTCGGTATCACTTTCAACAGAAACTTAACTTGGTCGGATCATATCAATACGTGCTGCGGTAAAGTGTACGCCATGCTTCGTACCCTTTCGGTTATATTTTACGCCACTCAAAACCAGAATGCTTTTGGCTAAATCGTATCTGATGCTCCTCTATGGCTGCGAACTATTTGCAAATTGCGACTCAGTAAGTAAAAGGAAATTGAATGTTCTATTTAACAACATAGCCAGGTATATTTTCACTCTTAAACGTAGTGATCACATATCTGAGCACGCCAAGAAAATCTTCGGTATCAATTTCAATGACTTACTCAAAACTAGAAGTCTGCTCTTAATGCACAAAATCATTTATACTAAAAATCCGAATTATCAATATAACAGAATATCCTTTTTGCGCTCAAATCGTGGAAACAAACTAAGACAACCTGTTTATAACTGTTCGCTATCTGAACGTCATTTTTTCGTGCGGCCACTACCCGCCTATGGAACTCACTGCCACACACTTTGCAGGATTTGCGTAGCGCGATGAGGTTCAAGGCTACCCTGTTCAAGCACTTCCAAACATAATGCAGACTGGCTTTAAATTAAATTATTCGCTTAAACTATAATTGTATGAATATAAGCACCTATTAACGAAATGTATAAATTAAATTTTTTTTACTCTCTATAACTATTCTACGCTATTCCAGATTTTTAACAATTATTATCAATTTGTTTTCAAACTTTAATTTCATAATCTACAATGTTACGCGATTAATATTACTGTTTAGTTTTAAGTATTCGTTTTATTTAATTAGTTTTTATTTCATTTTACCAACTATAATTTGTTTGCTTAGTCGAACCTAATACATCATATATGTATATAAACTTTTAGAAAACTTAAGAGATCTGTGTGTACTTTCTGTGTTAATTTTTTCGTGGTTTTCCAATATTGGTAAGTTTTCATGCACTATTTTATAAAGCAGCTATAACACTCCTGAATTTATGCAATATTAACTTTTGATATATAGTGATTTTTACTTTAAAAAATCGGGGGAAATCTGACTAAGTTATTCAACCTTTCATGAGAAAAATAATATTTTTGGCTATACAACTCAAAAATCTTTGCTTAACCTGTTTTTTAATTCAGCTTTTTCCGATTTCTTCTTGTAGTGAACGCAATATTCTGAAATAATTCGTCATGAAAATTTAAATATTAGCCGACTTTATAAAAATAAACATCACTTTTACTCGATATTAAACATACTTTTCTTCTAAATTTTTTAAAAGTGTATAGATATAAACATAGACCCATCATTCGAAAGGTTTAAACTCGGGTGAGAAGCAACTCATTTAACTCATGTACAAGCTTATAAGGGCACAAAAGTTTGTGTAGCTACCACAAAATGGTATCGCGTGTCGCACTGCTTGCATTTCATATCGCGTATCGTATCGCACATCCCATCGCATATCGTATCCCACTAACGTGTACCGTGCCTTAATGTCAAAATGATGTCTTTGTTGTAATATGAATTCGACTTGTTTATAACAAACACATTATTTTGACATTAGGAAGTACCGCGGCGAAAATCTAAATTCGCCATCAACACCACCTTGTATAAATTCGCCTTGGAACCTTGTATTATTGAATCATGACACGGCCCAACGTACAGAGTAAAAGTATTGTTAAGAGCCTGTCAGACGTGGCAATATTTCCGTCTTTCGCACGCAATTCGCTGCCAAATTGAGAAAGAGAAATTTTATTTCGATGTGTGAACAGCCAGAAAGATCTTTCTGCCACCTTTCGGAAATCAGTTTCAGAAATAAAAGTTGCAAGGTGGGACTGCAACTGCAAGAGCGAAAATCGATTTCGGAAATATATTTCAACTTGCTCGTGCTGCACTAGCAATTTTTATTTCTTCTGCAAGTGCTGTCAAACTAATCGAGTGTTGCCGTCTGGCCCTGATCGTGAATTTGTGTAAAATGATAAAAAATATTGTTGAATTAAATATCAAAAATGCTTGAAATATATTATTTTGCTTAATATACTTAATCGTTAAATTATTGTTTACACGACAAATATGTTAATTATAACCTATATTTTCTCGCTTTTACAAGAGAAATAGCTTTTACAAGAGAAAGATTGCCAGAAACTCATTCGCTGTGTGAACAGCCAAAAAGCGATTTCAGAAATTTTTCCTGCAATTCGCCGTTCGGAAATAAAAACCTCTTTCGAAAGACACTTTCCATGCAAGGTGTGACTGCTCATGCAACTGATTTCTCAATTTGACAGCCTTTCCGAAATTTATTGCATCGAAATATATTGCCACGTCTGACACGCTCTTTACGATTATCCATGCAACCTTGTGGGATTTCCCAAATTTTCGGTTCGTATCGCTGGATTGTTAAATAAATACTCACTATGACCAAATTGTAGTACAATTAACTTTATTGTACAACAAACAATTTACAATACTCGCTAATACAGTAAAAACACTTTACAATACTCGTTAAAGCAATACAACGCTTTACAAAACTTGTTAACACAATTAAACTTGCTTATTCGCAACTCACATTACTTGTAGCTTGCTGACTTGTAACTAACTCTCCTAGCTGTGTGGTGGCTCTTATGTAGCTGCGCTCGCACTCATGGCAACTCTAGAATGTTCTGAAGTTCATCGCTCATTCTCTTTCTCTTGCTGTTCGCAGTGTTCATCCAACTTGACGTTTCTCTTTGTGGAACATTCTACTTCACTCCTCGAACATTCTTCCTATTTCTCGTTGTTCGTTACGCGTTGCCGCTGTATTCGCCACACTGCCCTCCACCTAAGTCTGATCGTCCCGATCAGACACACTTGCTGTTACAAACGCGGCAAGCCTTTCCAGATTCTTGTTCCTCGGTCTCCCCACGGTCTGGATTCGATACACCACGTCATTCAGCCGTTTGACTACCTTATACGGACCTTCCCAGTTGCATTGTAGTTTTGGGGATAAACCTTTCTTCCGTTGTGGATTGTACAGCAACACTAAATCTCCCTCTTGGAAACCCTCGGAATTCATTGCCTTATCATACCTGGCTTTCATTTTGTCACTCATAATTTGCGTTGTCTCACCAGAGCATGTATCTCTCTCAGATCTTCCTCCGGGATGTTGGACGTCTCTTTCCCAATCCTCCTCGCATCGCCAGTTACTCCAAACTTCAGGTCACTAGGCAAACGGAGCTCACTGCAGAAGATTATCCTTGCATGAGTTTTACCCGTTGTTTCATGCACTGCTGACCGGTACCCCATCAGGAACAAGGGTATGCGGACATCCCAATCTTTCTGAGTTTTGTCCAAGACCTTCCGCAAATGCTCTTCCAGGGTGCGGATGAACCGTTCCACCATGCCATCTGACTGGGGATGAAGAGCCGTTGTTCGAGTTTTCCGGATACCCAGTATCTGGCACATCTCTTGGAACACCGCCGATTCAAAATTTCTTCCTTGGTCAGAGTGCAGCTCTATAGGTACACCGTATCTCGCAACCCAATTGTAGGTGAATACCTCCGCTACTGTTTTAGCTTCCTGGTTTGGAATAGGGTATTCCTCCGGCCATTTGCTAAAGTAATCCATAACCACAAGGACGTATTTGTTTCCATGTGCGCTCATAGGAAATGGACCGGCTACGACCATGGCAATCCGCTCGAATGGTGCACC